ATTGTAAAATATGATCCATCAAAATATTGCCACAACCTTAAGAAGATAGGGGAGGATTTCACAAATACCATTCCTATATCCAGCCTCACTTGGGAATTAGAAGGAGGAAACGACCCTATGAGTAAAAAACGGCGTGGAGAGTTCTCTGACTTTCATGGCCCGTCTAAGAAGATGATAAAAGTCCAAAAGGACAAAGCTCTCACTGGGTCGCTAGCCTCAAATCCAAGGTCCAGTTCAGTAATGGAGAGTCCGTACTTAACACAGCAACAAGCTACACAAAAGAGAACTTGTGATTCCATTACTCCTTCTAAATCACCCCCTGTTTCTGGTTCTAATACTCAGAAACTTAAAAAGGTACTTTTTCAGACATCTGGCTTAGAAACTGTCAGGAAGAGAAAGAGCATGTCTGATGATGATTTTGATTCTGAAGATGAATTAAGAGCAATGATTGCAAAAGAGGAAAATTTACAGAGGACTATGTGGTCCTCTATAAATGAATCTGAAGATGATCCCTTTGAAGTTGTAAGGGATGACTTCAAATCAGATGTTTACAAACTTTATTCTTTAACAGATTTAAGTGTCAAAAATAATGTTTCTGATAATAATATTGTGGGAAATGACAGTGAGTATGATTCAGGAGATACAGATGAAATCATTGCAATGAAAAAAAACATTGATAAAGTCAAAAACAGTATAGAATTTTCACAAATGGAAAAATCGATACACAAGAAAACTTCTTTTAAAAACAGAGAAAACTCTGATCTTTCTGGTCGTTGTATTAAAGATCAAAAAAGAAAAAATGTAAAGTCAGCACTCGGCTATGGGGTGAAACCTCTTAGTCTTAAATCTCCACCTGACTCCAGCAGCAGTGAAGATGCTGATTCTGCATCAGAATTAGCTGTGTCTGAAGAAGATGAGGAATATAATGCCATCATGAAAAACTGTCTCCGTGTGAATCTCACGTTAGCTGATTTGGAACAATTGGCTGGCAGTGATCTGAAGGTTCAAAATGAAGATACCAAGAGTAATAGCCCAAAATCTATAGCTCACTGCAAGTCTGACAGAGCCTCCAAGAGCCCTGACAGCCTCCACAGAGGCCGACAGTGTATTCATCCTGAAGAAATTGTGGCTTCCCTTTTAGAAGGAGAGAATTCTTATTGTAAACAGAAAACAGAAGAAAACATCTTAAAGCCAAAATTTCAGGCTTTCAGGGGAATAGGCTGTCTGTATGAAAAGGAGTCAACAAAAAAATCCTTGAAAGAGAATGTCATAAATGGAGATTGGAATTCCTTTAAACACAAGGATCCCATGAGCATTTCCACTGAAAGTGATTCCACATATGCTAATGGCTCATCAAATCAACTGACTCCATGCCAACATACAGAGAAGGCAAATGGTCTACACCATATTCAGTCTCAAAAAAAACAGTTCACTTTTGAGAACCCAGATCACAAGGTGGTATCCTCCAGCAGTTCAGAAAAGGGAGGTAGGACTCCTATTTCTAGTCTGTTGCCATTAAAAGGAAAGAAATCCTTAAGTGCAAAGACTTACAAGATAGGCTCTGACAAAGATAGTTGCCATAGCACCACAAAGACAAAATCTTCAGAGGAAGAGAGGTCTGATTCAAGCATCCTCACATCTCTGGATAAGTCACCAAAGGTGTCTTCCAGGAAGGACACACAGGAAAGCAAAACTGACTTCTCACTTTCTATTAGTAATTCTGCAGATGTGAGTGCTGAAGATAAGCATTCCATAGACAACCAGAAGCGTTTGGCAGCCTTGGAGGCAAGGCAGAAAGCAAAAGAAGTGCAAAAGAAGCTGGTGCATAATGCTCTAGCAAATTTGG